TATATCATGGGTCAAATGTGAACATAGTTTGTTCATCAAATAACAGTGAAGACGATTATGAATATTTTCTATCGAGAATGCACTTTCTGGTGCTATGTACTGAATGTATTACCTTTGTAAAGTACAGTGGAAGTAGTTTTTATTCCATGATAAATATATTGTCAAAATTGGCTCATCAGTTTATCAGAAAACGTCTGAAGGTGATTGAACGTGGTATTGTTTTGATCATTTGTTGTTGTTTTTTTCAAAGTAGTCCATTTTGTGTTGCACACGCTCAACAATACTATTGTAATTCGCGGGGAAAAGTGTGAAAAATGTTATAACCATTTTACATAAACTACTAGTTTTTTTTATTAAAATGCACAAATGATTCTCATAAAAATTGCGTTTACAATAATAATTTTATAAGTTCATTCATAATTTACAATAACTCTTGTGACTCAGCGTTAAGTATGAGGGCTGATGACACTAAAAATATGGTTTCTATACCCATGATAGAAAAAGCACAGTCTGCCCATTGTGTAGCTTTATGTTTCACAGCAAACAAACAAATAATTTACTATACTATGTGTAGAAAAATTAATAATAAAAAATGATGGACTAGTTTGTGCTTCAGACTACGGACTTTATCCAAGTAAACAATTTAAACTGCTGCCTGCTCTGGTAATTACATTATGCTCATTTCTAGAAGAACTCTGTGGGTCACTTTGAACTTTGAATTTGATAATGACAAGTTTGAGGAATTAAAATGAAAATCGTGTAAATTTTAATGATGAATAATAGTACTAACACGTGAAACAGCTTGGATAATTTAACTTCTAAAGGTAAGATATATAAAATGCCTTCAATGCTCTTCACCCATATTCATGACTAACCTGATTCAAATGCTTCAGCTACCTTTTTACAGTGTGATCTCATTTCACTTCTTCTGAATCCCAAATCACCTAGTCTATAATCTAAATCACCAAATCACCATAAAGATTTTGTCACAAAAGCTCGGTAGCCAACCTCAAATTGACTATACAGCTTTCCATCCTCTATCTTCATAACGTGATCTAAGCTCCCCATACTTGTCAACCCTCCCTTCATGTGCTTCTTGGAATTGTCCTCCCAGGATACTGTCAGCTCTGTAATAATCACATGCCTTCTAATAGCTGACCAGGTGACAGTACCCAGCCTAAGACTTGTGACCATATCTCACCTGGAAAGTTCCCTTTCACTTTAAGGTCTGCTATTATCTTCAAATCTTTTCCAATGGAAGGAATGCTACTTTTAGAAGAGTTCCTATCAAAACTATCTGACCCCAAACTCTTTTACAAAGATGATGAATTGTTTTTGATTAGTTGGTACCTCTATTACGTTAATCTTCTGCACTCTCTCTTCAACTGTCTTGGCTATCACTTCGAGTATATTACTGTGCCACCAGGTGTTTATGCAGCTGGAAAGGGTAGATGGGCATGAACTCAAAATTTGTTGCAAGCTAGCTTCCCTTTCCACCACATGCATGGCAAACAGTCTGCTTTATTATCACACCAGATGCTAAGGTTGGATGTTGTGGGGAGCGAATTATAAGTGAATCTCCACTGAAGTGAAATCCTAGGAGGTTCCATTTTCCATAACACATTCTATTGTTCTACAATGTTTCATCTGATCCATGCATCTTGCTTGACCTGCTTGGATGTAGTTAGTCTCTTCTCTTCTGTAACTTCTTGAATTTCCTAAAAAACACCTCTCTTTGTTCTCTGTTGTTGGAAGATGACCATCATTTATGACTTATTCATCCAACTCTTTGGTGCTCTAATTGAATAGGTCCAGCAATCTCCTTTTCCTTGAGACTTCATTGACTGCTTTCTCAGCTGTTTACTTCCTGCTGGATCTGACATCAGATTGGATGTTTTTAACCCCTGGATCATCAGAGTTCCTAAAGATCATGAAGGATCTTGCTTTTGCTACCTTGAACTAATACATAATACATCTCACTGATAGAATTAACTTTGTGCAACAACTGTGAATGACAATATTAGTTAAGTTATTTGGAACTCCCAACTATCTCTTCATGTACTTGTTCAACTGATGCTCCATTACCTCTACATGGTTAATGACTGTCTCATACACGCTATTGGATACACCAGAGCTACAATTTGTCTGGTAGACCACATTTGTGAATTAATTACAAAAGATCCATCGCCTGCTTAGCCACATCCTGAGCTCTCCTGGTATCTTTCAACTCTATTGTGTACCAACGTCCAAGATTTTTCGCAGGTTGCTTCTGGATCGATGGAATCACCTCACCATCCAACATAAGGCGAGTATTAATCAGCATCTCATTCTTGAGAACCAGACTTCGAGACATCTTGGTTTTGAACTTCATCCTACCCCAGTCCATCAATGGTTCAAGTCTGGTTATGATTGCTTCTAGTGCTTTCTTATTTAGTCAAGTCATCCATAAAAACATGTATTGGAAACCTTTCTCCTTCATTTGATGCTATCCTCCAGTGGGACAGTGGTAAGTCTACGGATTTACAATGCCAAAATTATGGGTTCGATTCCTCTCGGTGGATACAGCAGATAGCTCTATGTGACTTTGCTAGACGGAAACTACATGTACACACATTTAACGCTATTTCTGGACCAGCCGTTTTTGCTGCTCTTATCAATTTTTTCCTTACTCTTTAGCTTCCTGTATGATATGCCATATCATGCTGGTATGCTCCAATCAGAGTGGAACTTGGTATTTCAGCCTTCTGCACAGAGGTGTTAATCAGCTCGTTCTCCAGAAGAAATAAAAATACAATTTTCTGCTAGAATGCCAAACATGATCTTATCTTATATATTTAACAAAGAAATTGTGTGGAACTGTCAAAGAGTATTCGAACGTTCTCTTTGAAGATATATACACCTTCCGCTCTGTTCTATAAAGAGGGAACAACAATCTTTCTACAAATTAAGCAAACTCCAGGGAAACTTCCTTAGCTCACCTTTCATCTTGTACACTTTTTACGGTACTCCATTCAAACTCTATGCTTGGTCGTATCGGTCACACCAGTCTAGCCATATCAAACATTGGTATATCACGACACTCATCAGAATAGGTAAGTAGTATATTTCCTTTGCTTTTTAACTACATCGATAATACGTTATACCATGCTAAGTTGTAAAATAACTTACTGTATTACACTACAGTACAAATTAGGTCTACACTACAGGTATGAATGGACAGAATGTAAACACTGATGACAAAGTTAGTTTCCATAGTGTAAGTTATAACTTAGTCTAAGAATTGACACTGGCTTCTGGTTTTGAAGTCTGACTTTTATCAATTAGATTCTACTACCTATATTATAAACAGTTTAATCTACTTATATAATCATACAACCTCTTGGGATGACATATATATATATATATAATAAAATAATAAAAGTAACTAATAAAAATTCAAACAGTAGAGAGTAGTGATTATTACTTATCTCAACGTTTCAGGTTTAAGTCCTTGTCATATCGCAAACCCCCAAAACAAACGACTTAGACAAACGTTGAAATATATAATAAATTTTGTTTTTGTTTTTGACAATTACATTTTACAAAATTTGTCCTAAATCTGTCTTTAGTGTTTTTTATATTACCCCTGCAATTACATTTTTTTTATTTCCAAACATTTTGATCAATCTGAAAAGTTAAGGTTGAGAATCAATTTAAATGTTATTTACCTGTGATAACAAGTGTTGTTTCACGTTCGGTTTCACCTATATCACTGGTCACTGAACACAAAAACTTCCCAGCATCAGCAGGAATCACTCTATCAATAATCAGGGATCCACTTAATTGTTGAATGTGATTTCCAACTATTACGGGAATATACGTTCCATTGAAGTTTTTAAACCATCTGCATGCAGAAAGTAGAATATATTATTAGCATGTCATATAGTATTTTCGGTTAAAGTATGACCTCAGCTTGAAGCACCAAATATTATATTTTCAAGAATACAAATTACTTTGTTGCTCGCACTTTTTTCATTTAGGAAAAAAATTAACAAAATTATTAAACAATAAAATCATCACATTAACATAAGATGCACATTATTTACACTTTCATGCCAGAAACACCCTTGTCTTTATCAATAAACGGAACTTGAAGTCAATAACCTTAGCTACACTGTATACACTGAGTGGTTACAAGTAAATAGACACCAAATTTTTCGTCATTTAACTGATTTATGC